CGGTGACCGCATGCGAACGCTGGCATATTGGCCTTCGGTGGGGCTCTCTGTGGGGTCACGGAAAATGTGAGGGGCGTGCCAAAATGTGTGCGGTGACCGCACGCGAACGCTGGCATGTGGACCTTCGGTGGGGCTCCCAATGGGGCCACGGAACGTGTGAGAGGTGTGCCAAAATGGGTGCGGTGACCGCATGCGAGCGCTGACATTTGGGCCTTCGATGGGGCTCCCTGTGGGGCCACGAAATGTGTGAGGGGTGTGCCATAATGGATGCGGTGACCGCATGCGAACGCTGGCATATTGGCCTTCGGTGGGGCTCCCTATGGGGCTACGGCACGCGTGAGAGGGTGTGTCAAAATGGGAACGGTGACCGCATGCAGGCGCTGGCATGTGGGCCTTCGGTGGGGCTCCCTGTGGGGTCACGAAACGTGTGAGGGCTGTGCCAAAATGTGTGCGGTGACCGCACGCGAACGCTTGCATGTTGGCATTCGGTGGGCTCCCTGTGGGGCCACGAAGTGTGTGAGGGGTGTGCCATAATGGATGCGGTGACCGCATGCGAACGCTGGCATATTGGCCTTCGGCGGGGCACCCGATGGGGCTACGGCACGTGTGAGGGGTGTGCCAAAGTGAGGGAGGTAGCGGGAGGAGGGAGGAGGAAAGAGAGGAGGAAGAGAGGAGAAGAGAGGAGAGAAGCGCGGGGACCGTGTCTTGAAAACGAGGACAAAACACCACAAGATGGTTGGGAAAAAAAGGTCGGTCTGGTGCAGTAGGAGGGGAAAGGAGCCCCTTTCGGATCCCAGTTGTGCCTACCTGCGCAAAGAACGCCAGATGAGACCCCATCGAATGACCTAAGGAACATGGACCCCCTGAATCTGAAGGGACCTTGTCCAAAAGCTTTGACCGTGAGGACTCCGAAAGGGCGACATCGCTCCTGCTTCGGCTCAACGCAACTGTTCCTTGCAAGTTGCGTTCCCTCGTGGGCGCGGGGGATCACTGTGCCTCGTCAGGCTCGTCGAAGGCTCGTGAAGAGTGCGTGTGTGTGTGGGGGGGGGGGAACACTGGAAAGAATGTGCGGCTAAGTGAGCTTTTTTCTATTCAGCGTTTCGACATTGGGCGGCAGGGAGGGGGGGGAGTGGGGGAGTCTGGCTCCACACCTCTGCCCAGTGCGACTGTTGCAGCAATGGTTCCTATGGGGGAGGCGCTCCACCTGCCCGAAGCAGGCGCCAAACAAGTGTTTTGGCGCCGAAAATTGTTTTGCCGAGGCTGCTTTAAACAGCCTCGGCAAAACAATGAATCAGAAACGACAACTAATCCGATAATGTTCCAGCGCTGGAGGCCTGGAAATGAGCACCAACACCAACACAGGGGGCTGCCTCCACAGGTGGAAGGTGATCCTAGGTTTCGGTGTTGGTGGCAACATTTCGGCCACCTCGGCAGCCAGAATGTTACCACCATCACCGAGATCGCCATCCTCTTCCCTCGGTGAAGGCACACCGTCGATGCTGGTGTTGGTGTCGACCTCTAGGCCCCGCGACAGCGGGAGGCTTCCGGAGCGTTCCGTGGAGCACGTTGTGGCGCGTGCCGAGCATCCGTGGCCGCACGAGCGTCGGGCCGGCTCGCGGCCCCCGTCGCTCGCACGGAGGGCTCGTGCCAGGGGGCTTCCTCCCAGTCCCGAGGGGGTTCTTGAAGCCTCTTGGGGTGATCACCGTCGGGACGTTGACCCAAGGAACCCAAAGCAAGGAACGAGGCCCCTTTTTCTCCAGAAGTTCCACTTCGACTCCCCGTCGAAAACCGGAGGAACACCTGAGGCAAACCGCGAAACAATCAAGGAACACCGAGCCCCTCCCCAACGAAAAGGGTTCCTTCTTCAGCGCCCCGACTGTAGGACGGCTTCCAAGGTGGCCCTCACGCGGTCAAACGTGGGGTCCAAGAATGCAGAAGCGAGGCAAAGACGGCCCAAGATGCCACCAAGACGGCCCAGGAGGACTCCAAGCCGGCCCGAGATGCCCTCCTGACGGTCGTAGACGCCCCAAGAGGGCTCCTGGAGGCCAAGATCAGTGGCTTTACCTGAAATGTTCAATCGTTGTCGCGTTCTTGCCGTTTCGGTTCCGACAGCCGAGAACGGCCTGAGAGACCTCCAAGATAGCCGCAAGACTGCCCCCAAAACCCCAAAGACGGCCCCAAGAACGGGCCAGAGAGGCCGGCAAGACGGCAGAGGCCAGTACGCCCCTCAGAGGCCAGCAGACGATCCCCCAGAGGCCCCCCAGAGGCCACAGGCGGGCCTCAAGAAACCCTCCAGAGGCTCCCACAGGAGGCTCCCGAGGTGCCTCCTCTTCCTCCTCCTCCCCCTCCTCCTGCCTTTCCTCCACCTCTCTCTTCCTCCCCCAACTGGGGCTCCAAGGTTTTCCACAACGGCTGGGGGATCTCATAGTTTGACAACTTGGCCAAGCTTTGCCCATCGCCTAGCCACATCGGCATTTCCAGAAAGTCAGGGGCGGCAGTGACTCGCCGTAGGCGTGGCCAATACATGAAGAGAGACATTAAACTGTGGACGGGCGCCACGTTTTTAAAGCGTCCGCGGTCGATTGAACTCCATGGCAGCACGACAGCCCCTACATGAGTCTGGAAAAC